CTTTCAGTCCTTCATCACCTCATGCGATCTTGGATGACTATACGAATTGCTATTAAGCTTTACTCGTTTTTACCGAGACTGAAAGATAGTGCCTCGATGTCTGCATCCGCAAGGCGGCTTCTTTGAAGGCAAACGTCAACTGGTCAAGAGAAATCCCCAGTCGTCTTCCGATCACATCGGCCTCCAGCTCTTTTGATCATACACTTTAACTCGAAATGGAGTTGAGCACGTTGCAACCGTAATCAAAGAGGGGTATCTCCACACGGCACCAGACCAAGTGATATCTGCCATTGTCTTCAGGTGAGATCACTCATTTTCAGATTAAAAAGAAGCTGAAGCACGAGCTGATCACCAAGACGGCATGAACTCATCCGTTGTCAAGTTGAGAGAACAGTACAACTCCTCTTCACCTTGGCCCAAAAGGTTAATAATTCACTTTTTGGCCTTTTGCATGTGGACATCTCCTCGTTAGTTGATGACCTAAGGGTCGAAGGCAGTTGAGACCATAAAAACCTGGCCAAGTTAAGCGCATAGAAAGGAGAGCTTCAGTGCACTAAAAGCACTATTTGACAGTTACTATGCGGACATTTCCAAATCACCTTAGATGCGGAAATTAGTAAGTTATTGTCACCTGACCCTGTTGGCAGGGCGACATTGAAAAGCAGATGAGCTCAAATAGGCTCTGACAAATTGTCGGTCGCCTGATTAAAAGGGAATTGGATCATATTGCTCATTAGAGACACCCATTGTTATCGGAGTCATGGCATGGCGTGATCCTTTCGGGTGGATGGTCTGTCCGACTCTCGCAACTTGACAAATGTTATCCAATTATTTTTTTTACCATCGGCCTCTGGACTCCGCAGATTACCTATTCAAAGTCATAGTTTCATACACACCTCCGTCTGTGTGAGCCGCGTGAGACACAAGGCGTGTGTGCGTGCCTACCTCAAGTGGCAACATCCGTGTTGCTGGGTTGAAAGCCCAATCTCAACACCGGCCGACTCCGATTCCTCATGCTCCGCCCGGATTACCTGCGTCAATAACGACGATGAGAACAAATGTTACCCTCGTGTGGGTAACTGTGACGCGGTTAATTGAGACGATCGGGCGTCGTTTTGGGCCAAGGAAGGGCAGAAGTCAGCTAAAGTGTTGCCGCCGGCCGGGTCGTCTCGAGATTGGCCTTGGTCTAACTGTTGCCAGGGCAGTGCGGATAAAAGGCAGCTTCACTTCAACCATGCGGAAGCACTCGAATTTCACGCTTTACCTTGGCAATTAGAACATCGAAAACCCACTCAGTCAAGGTGACAAAGGAGCCATCACCAACTCTCATGTGACGCAAGCGAGTCAAACATGCGCCAGCTTGTACGTCTACCGCATGTATGTGTGTCTCTGTGTGCCGAAGGCATGTTTACAGTCGATAAAAGGGATACATTAATAATGTTATTTTGCTCTCCACCATTTTCAATCGACGGGCTTTGTAGATGAGCCTGAATTGAGCTGCGAGCACACCAGCGGCCACAAGCCACAGGTAAGCAAAAAAAGGGACGAGTGAGTCTACAAATCGGTGTATCTTAGCCCTACCGATCGTTTCTGACCGACGAAGATGCACTCGACCGGCTCAACAGTTGCGTCAAGATCGTCCATATGCAGGCTTGCGCACGAATGTGGCCATTTGTGCTGCTGTGCTGTGTGTATGTGTGTGTGTGTGATGGTTGCGCAATCAGACGACATCGTTGCCAGGCTGCGTCCTCCCACCCACCCCTTCAAGAACTGGCGAGACCAGACTGAAGCCTACCGGCCAGATGGTCAGTTAGCTTGTCGAGGGGGATCGCGAGCCATGCGAGCAGAAGGCTCAAGAGGTCTTGTCAGGGTTGCGAGGGCCATAACAGACTTAAGCGGTCTCTTTTTCAACATGTCCAACTTGAGTTTGCTTACTTCTCCCGGCTGCTCTTCCTCAGGCCCTCATTCCCACTTCCCTCCGGACTCGGTGTCTGGCTCCAACCAGCCAGACTCTGCATCCAACTAACTAGCCTAGTCAGCTCGTGTGTTTTTTATTTGGTGATAAGGGTTTTCGAGTGGCCGCCGGCCTCATACCGGGGCGCAAACAACTCTCGACAGGTGTAATCATTTCGCCTCTTGTGTGCACTGCGTGTATCTGAGCCGTAGTCTGTCTGGGTACCTTTTTGGCCTGCTTATCTAAAGCCATAGAGGGCCTGGCCGGATTGACCCAGGGACGAAGTGATTTGATGGGGTTCAGGGTGTCCGGATGGATGGTAGCTCCTGTGCAATCGGCTCACTCGAAGTTGTCTGCTTGTGCTGATCCTCGTCGAGCAGAAAGCCACTTGCCCACCGAAGCGGGTGTACCAGGAGATGAAGAGGAAGGTGGCTTTAACAGGACAACCGGCATTGGCAGGCTTAAACAAGATTGCATAAACTAGCGCCTTCTCGGGCGTATTAAGAGGAAATATCGCTTTTTGTATCTACTATATGTCGAAAATCGATACATGTCGGGTAGCTTAAAGTGATAAAAAGACGAGCAGTTGAGGTTACAACAATACAATGAGTATGGAGCATAGCTTATACTACTGGCCACTCGATATATAGTAGTATTGATGATTAAAATGTATGAGATGTATTCACCCTATTTCGTGTAAGGTGATGAAGGACTGGTAGTATAATTTTCCCACAATGATA